GGAATGCTGCTGAGCTCCCAGGCAAAGTTAAATCTTCGGTGGTGCTCTGGTAGTTTGAGTAATGGCTTTGCAGAATGAGTGTAAATGTCTATCAGGATGACAGCTTGCTCTGTTAAATGTGTTTTCTGGTTCTGCCAACATGCCAATAGTTGTCTGTCAACCAATGGCCACAGAAGTATTTGCTCTAAAAAAGGTACAAAAATGGCCAGCTTCTCAGAAGTGAGGAGGAATGAGAGCGCTCTTAAATATATCTACCTAACTCATCCTAAAGGTGTTGGGGGGGATGGGGCAATGTCACCCTGTTGGTGAAATTATTTTTTTTAACAAATGGCTTTTCTTCTAGGAAGGTGCTTCAGTTAATGTCCCATGCAGCACAAATAACTGGACAGTTTCTTCTCTATACTGGAACATACATGTTGCAGTTGATGGGTGAATATGACGAAGATGGCACGTGTACAAGATCAAGGCGCGAGTAGTGAACACAGCTGCACTTCTGATATCGGATCCTTTTGCTTAAAGAGATTGTTTTGCCCAACTTTGATTGTAATGATGTTATAGTAGGGGGATGTCCACTGATGTGAACTAACATTTTTCCCCATTTGGGAATGCTTGTAGGCCTCAGTCATAAAATGTTTGGTGTTCACAGGCTCTTAACATAGCAAAATGATGGGTGCCTAATGTCTGAGAATTTGGGAAAAGGTGAGAAGGCAGGTTTTTGCACCAGCAGCTCAAAATGGAGAATAAGTATACTTGGAAACTTGCTTGCTTTGTACCAGTGGAATATTTCTTGCACTGATCAAAACATAGTTTGGTTGGATTTTTCATGGCTGTCTACTTGCCTTCTGAACAGACTGGGCTGTAAGGGTGGGATGGAGAAGGCTGTCGTTTTCTGGTTTTAATTCTTAACAGTGCTGGTATTAGTGTCCAACTGGCATTGAGGTACAAAAGGGTTAAGTGTACTTACTTACTCCTGTTAACAATGGAACTACACAACACAACTGAATCCTGGTTCAGTGACTGACTACTTTCATGAAGTCTAATTGAAAAAAGTGCAACTACTAAGCAGAAGCTTAAAATTTAGCCTTACTTCCATTAAAACAAGTGAAAACATGTAATTTTCACTCTTTACACTTTTCTTCAAATCTACAGAAAGTACTGAATAGCATAGCTCATACCAGTTGAAGAACCTGATGTATTTCTTTAATGGGTCTGATGTCCAGTTCTGCCTGAAGTATTGAATAATTTGGCCGTTTCATGAATACGGCTTATAAGCAACCTGCTGAAGCTTCCTTCAGGGGTTAAACCATCACTTCCGTAGTTCTTGCTGTTCAGTTACAAGATGACACTACATCCCAAATTGTACTTCAGGTACATCTAAGAGATGCTGGATTTTCATGCCCCTGTATTTAGGGGGGAGCAGCAGGACACTATCTAGTCTTGTGTAACATATGCTCTAGACTCGACATTTGTGGTTTTATAGTCTCCCAAGACAAGCTGTATTAAAGGGCAAAGTTCTTAATTCTTAGATAGACTTATTCGGAATGTTTTCTATAGTTCAGTGAACTGCTAGTATGACCAGCTTCCAGCAAGCTTTTCCTCAGCAGTGTAGAAAACTGGAAAATGAGCAGTGTCAGGCATCTTGTGTCAAAATACAAACTCCCATTGAAGAAGGGAAAAAGACCAACTTTGTAGGTGTGGCTTTTGATGTTTTCGTTTGCTTGCTCATGAAGAATTTTAGTAAGTTGTTATAGTCTTGCTTAAGACTGAAAGATCTTAAGGTGGCAGCATATACAGGTAAATGTGTCTGACCTGATGGCAGGTGCCACCTAGGAAGAGAAGGTCTGATGACAGAATGAACAATTGGGGCAGGGGAAGAAAGCAGTGGGAATGGAAGGGAAAAGGACCAGTATGGACCCCACAGTGCTTGCCATGCCTCTGCTGAGACAGGAATCCACTATGTGCATCAACTGCACTGATTAGCTGGAGGAAAACTTAATCTGCTAAAAGAGGAGCAGGTGGACTGAAAAGACCAGGCATCATGGTTGGTGGGATCTAGTCTGACCTGTCAGCTGGGTCTGTTCACTTCAGATGGCACTAATACGTGGGAATATCACTCTTGCTTATATCTGCAAATTTTACCATCATAGGCTTATTTTTGCCTTCCCTTTATGGCTGTGACTTAGCCAGCTGGAGCTGCATTTTTCAAATCACTGTTGTGATGAAAAGCAGCCTAAATCCAAGTGTTAAAGGATCTGATGGACTCAAGTTCACTAGGTCTCTGCCTGTCTCTTCAGTAATGGTATTCAAATAAGTAGACAGCTAAGAAAAACCTTGTGGGTTTTTTCCTGTTTTCTGTTGTTTCCCAACTACTTCTGCATGTTTGCTGGGGGAGGGCACACAACTGGATGAGGGGAAGACTGGTTCTTTCCTAATTTCTCCAAGGGAAGAATGGTGGTAATTTGCAGTACTGTCAGGTTTCCTTCAGAAGAAAACAATAGGCTATTCTGAGAGTAATGAGAGAGAGCTTATGTTAAAATGGAAGCTTTATACTTCATCTATATTGTTTTCACCCCTTGCCCCAAGTGATTGTTGCTATGATAACTGTTGGCCAAATTCTTTCTACCCCTATCAATGAATTGCATTTAACTGATGCAGTGCAAAGACTCATTAAATCTTTCAGCTTTTAGGGGGCAACTTATTCTATTAAAACAAGCACATCTCCTGAAAGCAAATTCTATGTAATGCTCCTAAGAATACTTCTGTTCCTAATGGTAGGAGCACCAATACTAAAAAAACCCCAACAAACTCCACCAAAAAATCCCCACAAACCCCCTAATTTGCAGAGTTCAATATTGCATTAATTTGTATGAAATGTATCTTCAACATCTAATAAATGCAAAAGCTTTTGCAAGTCTGAACTGTGCAGATCTCAAATTCCAGCCTTCTATAGCCGGAGGCAATTGTTACATTCCGTAGTTTCCAATGGCACTCTTAGAACCTAACCTTATCTAAAATGCTAACTCAGAGTGAATTTGCAATGTTTTTAAGCAGCTGCTTCTTTGGCAGCTTAACACTTAAAACTTGAGCTGCTGAAGGTCATGTGAGCTGCAAAGTCTCCATCTCAGAGCATCTCCTTCCTCTAATTCAAAATGCAAACAGCTGAACAAAGTAACTCAGCTTTGATATTTTCTGAAAATGGGAGAAGTGTCTGAAATTGCTTCATTGCTTCTGAGTCTGGGTTTTGCCACAGGCTTAGTATTTGGGGGGGGGGATGATATTTGCTACTGTACCAACCTCTTTCTAGAGATAAAGTTTTGGCTTTGGGCCAAACTGGAGAAGTTATTCCCTGAGTTGGAACAGGTTTGATTATTTTTTTTAGACAGACTGCTTAGGAGGCATAGCTTTTACCTCAGCTGTATGTGGTACACAGCAAAGTACAACTTTAGCATTATCTAGCTTTCAGAAAATTATACACAAGTGGAGTATAATATCTGGCAAGAGACAGAACTAACACACAGGCTCTTTAACTGGAACTATGTGGAGAAGCAGCTAGCTTTGCCACTTGACACTTTTAGCTTTAGTCTTTCTTTCCATAAGCTCAGTTAATCAGCACTTGTTACTGTTGCAGTCAAGGCTGGTAGCACGGATGTGTTGAAGGTGTAAAACGTGTTTACTGCCTCCTTGCCTGCACTGGCCCTTTTTGCCTCTTGCTTTGCATCACTTACTAGCAGTGCACTAAGTTGTACTGTAGTTACCAAAAAAGGAATTTTCACTGAAGTACTCAATCTTGTTGACTCAGGCACTGTTCATGTTCTGCAGGCAAAGCAAAGTTGCTCTCTTAGTGACCAGAATGAAGAATCTGGTAGCTTTTGTGTGTAATTTATCATTACTTCATTTCCTTCCTTTCATAAACCCATGAAGTTATTGCTTTCTTGCACCTTCCTATTCTTTCAGAAGAAATAGGATTACATGTTGTTCTGTCCAGGGGAGAGGAAAAGGCATGATCTAAATTCCTAAGACCGTTTGGAATATACTCTAGGAGACATCCTGAATCCCTTCCCTACAGAAGGGAAGGGTAAAGAAAGGAAAATAGGACTTTGGGCTGGAAGTTTTCTTAGTACAGTGAGTAGAGAGGTAGGTGTTAACAATTTAGGAAATGTTGGTAATTCTGAATATTAACTGTGAAAGATAACTACATATCATCATTTGTAACTGACTGGAATTATAACTCTAAATCATTTCAGCATGCTTCTTCCTGAGATAGCACTTGAACTAAAGGCACAAGCTTCTTTAAAAACAAAAGAAAGTTTAAAATCATGATACTTCTTTTTTTTACTTGATGCCTCAAGTTTTACTGGAGATATTAATGTGATTAACATACCACTTCAGTTATGTATAAGTACCCTTGTGAAGTTTAGTGTTTATCACTACTTTCTTTACATTACCTTGTCATATATACAGTTAAGATATTTATAAACATGAGCATTGCTGTTTTGCTAAGGGAAAAGATAGTGTTTCACCACTTCACAACTTTCAAGCTCAGTACATTTAACTTGCTATCAAAATTGAGATGGTTGAGAATTATGTTTCAGTGATGGCAATATTTTTCTGATGTGTGGTACCAATTTTAAGAAATATTGTCCATGAATAAATAAATTCAAGTGGTGGCTTTGGATGTCATTTATTAATTTCCAGAATAACTCATTCCTGAAATAATCATGAATGTTAATGGATCTATGGTCTGCCACAGACCATTTCCGAATGCTGGACTGCGGCAGTGAAGTAACTGGATACTACTACATGGCTCTTAACTCTTTACTGCTGACTCACTTTCTGGCCTCAGAGAAACTGTGCAAACTGTTTCCCTTCATACAAAAGGAATGCCTTCCCCCACCTCTTCCTAAAGCTGCAAAAGACTACAGACTGCTGAGTGCGGGGGATAGAAGGCTTTGGCAATCTCTGGTTTTCACTAAATTCTGTAAGGATCAAGGGCCTTATAATTCCTCATGGAAAACTCCCTGCAGTTGTTTACCTGCAGATACAATAGTATGTATCTTGATTGCAGGGAAATATGAATGTAGTTTAGTGAAATGTTAGATTTCTCTAGTTCAGGATTAACTTAGTCTTCAGGAGGAATAGCATGCAAGTGTGATATCAGTCTAGTGCACCTCTGTCTAATAAGTATATCCTGTACTCAGCTTAAGTGATATTTTTACAGAGCTTGACTCTCGAGTGGTTCCCTCTCTTGTGGAAGAACCAAGGTCTGGTTTCTTGCTGTGGAAAAGCACAAAATAGCACTGTATTGGGTTTAGTGGCAAGGTGTTGGTAGTGAGGGATGAAGAGGTGCTATGGGTGTGGCTTCTGTGAGCAGAGACCACAGGGGCTGTCTTTGCATTGTACAGAGCTGCTGCCAGCTGGCTCTGAAGCGAACCCACCATCACCCAAAGATGAGCCCTTCAGCCAAGATGGTGGTGCCTCTATGGAAACATATTTAAGAAAGGGTAAAAAATGCTGTGCAGCAGCTGTGAGAGAGGACAGAGAAAAAGGTGAGAGAGAAACAGCCCTGCAGCCACCAAGGTCAGAAAAGAAGGAGGGGGAGGAGGTGCTCCTGGTGCTGGACCAGAGATTCCTCTGCAGCCCATGGAGAAGACTATGGTGAAGAAAGTTGTCCCCCTGCAGCCGAAGGAGGATGCCCTGTGACAGCGGGTGAATATGCCTTAAGGAAGCTGCAGCCTGTGGAGAGCCCATGGAGGAGCAGGCTCCTGGCAAGA